TGTGGTGCACATAGACTCATGCAAGCTCACATCCATACACATAATAAAAATAAATGACCATTTAATGCGAAATGATTATTAAAATATTCAGATAGCTCGACCGCTTAGAAGGGCAGGAGAATGGATACCTATGAAGGATTTGGGAAAGAAAGTTACTGCATGGAGATGCAAAAATTTTACAGTAAATGTCAGCAGAGGATAAATGACTCTACCTGGTTCTCTCCTCCCTACGTTTCCCGTGTGTTAAAAAAGGCAGTGTGAGGACTAGAGAGATGGCTCAGAGGTTAAGAGCACTGGCTCCTCTTCCAGAGGTCCTGAGTTCAATTCCCAGCAACCACAAGGTGGCTCACAGCCATCTATAACGAGATCTCTTGCCCTCTTCTGGCTTATAGGCAGAACACTGTATACATAATAAATAAATCTTTAAACATAAGCCGGGCGGTGGTGGCGCACGCCTTTAATCCCAGCACTCGGGAGGCAGAGGCAGGCGGATCTCTGTGAGTTCGAGGTCAGCCTGGGCTACCAAGTGAGCTCCAGGAAAGGCACCAAAGCTACGCAGAGAAACCCTGTCTCGAACCCCCCCCCCAAAAAAAAAAAAAAAGAAAGGCAGTGTGAGTAACCAGCAGCCAACAGTCTGGGCAGAGGTGGTGCATGTCGCTTAGGGCTTCAAGAAGGCGGGCATGCTCCGTAAGGTCTTCCCCCGGGGCGGCAAGCAAACCCTTGAGGTCACTTCCTGACAAGATGGTGCCACAGGCCGGGCGGCGGCAGCGGCGCACACCTTTAATCCCAGCACTCGGGAGGCAGAGCCAGGAGGATCTCTGTGAGTTCGAGGCCAACCTGGGCTACCAAGTGAGTTCCAGGAAAGGCGCAAAGCTACACAGAGAAACTCTGTCTCGAAAAAACAACAAAAAAAAAAAAAGATGGTGCCACAAGAAGGCTGAGTCTGCATCAGCCCCTGTCCTCGATGGACTCCAAAGCTGGGATCCCTCCCCTCCTGGTAAGTAATGGATTTCTTACCCATTCGGTGTGGATAAGAAACAAACGTTTGCTGCGTTGAGCTTCTGCGACCTAGGGGTTAATTTCAGTAACACCTCAAGAGCTCCTTGTGGTTTATTAATTATTAACCAAAGCCCTTAGATCTCCTTAAGATCTGTTTATACCCAAGATAGTTTTCTTTTTGTGATTTTATTGGGAATGAAGCTCACGTTTCCACAGAAGGTGATGAGCTTAATATCAATGGGAATGTAAGACAAGAAGAAACTTTTTGGACTTGGAAGAGACCTTTACCCTTCCTCACCCAGTTTCTCACCGTCTACAAGTAGGACCTTACTTTTTCACAGAAAAGAAAAATGCTCTATTCATTTGTAGAAATAACTTTAAAAGACTTGAGATTTCCAACTAACACCTCATCATTCTTGGAATTGGATTCTGTCCCTTAGAAAGTTTTTCATATTTTTTAACTGAAATATAGGAAGGAAAAAAAAATTTGTTCACTAGAAAAAAAATAACCACTCCAATGTTAATCTGCCCTCTAGATAACCAAACAGCTTGTAGATTCTACTTTTGAGAAATAGTCTCTATGTCTACAGCTTGCCAATTCTTGCCTTATAACCCAGCTGTCCTCATTCCTACTCATAATGTCAAATTTTGTGCAAAAAAAAAAAAAAAGGTACCTTTAAGAAAAAACATATGTGGTCATCTATCCCTTTACCACCAGCACACAAGATTTTAACAAAAAAAGTTTATTTTAAAATAGATCAGAAGCCTTGGAATGAGCCTTGGCCCCACACGTTCTGTCCTGGAAAAAGTCCATTGGTGCCCTCAATCACTTGGTAACATAAATCAAATTAAGTAGGTCTTAGAACATAGCACTGATAGACACAACAAGAAAGACAGAGTAAGGAAAACATAACCCTGCGTTCATAATTGCATTCTCACAAAACTCACAATACTCACTGCCCAGCAGGAATATGTCAAAATAATTAGACAGGCATTTCATGCTTAAGAATCCTGGGAAGGACTCAAAATAATCATGGGCTGAGAAACTTAGACACATGTGAGTGAGAACTGAGTATGAGTTGCTGGCTACTACACAGGCATAGACTGGAAACCAAGCTTCTTTCACCGCTGCTCAATGACCGTTCTAAGGATGAGAAATGTCAAAATACTTTTGCAATGGCTGAAGGACATCCCATAAGCTTAGTAGCTGCCTCTAGTCCTTCTCTGGGAAACAATCGCTTTAAAAAAAAATCATTCGCCAGGCAGCGGTAGCACACCTTTAATCCCAGCACTCGGGAGGCAGAGACAGGTGGATCTCTGTGTTCAAGGCCAGTGTGGTATACAGAGAGAGATCCAGGACAGGGACCAAAACTACACAGAGAAACCCTGTCTCAAAAAAAACAAAAACAAAAAAAAAATCATTCACAGCTCTTTTTCATAGACTGAGATCCAGAGGTATTTCATTGTATACAGAACATCCTGGGGCAGGGGGGAGGGGGAGAGGGGAGGGCAGAGGAGGGCAATGAAAGGAAGATGAGAGAGGGAAGCTACAACAAGAGCTGGAGACACGATAGGCTCATGTGGGCTTAAGTGGGAAGCAGAGAAGAGACTGCATGTTGCCTTCATGTTGACTTCGGAACATAACACATGAAGAAAGAACTGTTAGGAATGTGGAAAAAATCATCACAAGGTTCACTCTACTCTTAAAGTCCAGAAACCTGAAGGATTGGTCTCAAATGCACAACAGCCTGTAAGAGACACTCATCCCCCTGCTGATATAGAAGTCGTCGCCACTAGCATTCTGAGCACTCTGTTATGTACCAGGCGTTGTTCTAAATACTGTGTTCATACAGATTCATCAATACCCACTCCAGCCTTAAGAGTCATTACCCACTCCCATTAAAAAGGAGAGAAGTTGTCTGACCTCCAAGCATTTGCCTCGGCATGTTCCCCTCCCCCATAACAATAAATAATAATAACTAAAAAGAAGAGAAATCGGTCCTGTAAAGGTTAAGTGCCAAGGCCAAGATTGTACAACTAATAACATGTCTGAGACAAGTTTCAATCCCAGCCATCAGTGTCTGGAGTCTGCGCTCTTCGCTCTTGTAATATGTCTGATTGTTCTTTAAGAAAAGCATTTTGACAATACTTTTAAAAATTAAATCATCTGGTTTGGTCATTGATGGGAGAACCACTTGTTACTTTACACCAGCCCAAGGCTTTCTATACCAAGAGATTTTAGAACCCACCTAATCCAGTTTTCCCGACCAGTGAAGGCTTCCCTTGTAACATGCCTTTCTCTGATAACGAGTCACGCTCTTACTAGACGGTTTTTGTGATGGAGAGGTCTCTCACCTAAAGATTTTACTAGAAAAAGTACTTGACTTTTTTTGGGGGGGGGAGGGGGGCTTTGAGACAAAGTTTCTCTGTAGTGTTTTGGTGCATGTCCTGGATCTCGCTTTGTAGACCAGGCTGGCCTCCAACTCACAGAGATCCACCTGGCTCTGCCTCCCGAGTGCTGGGATTAAAGGCATGTGCCACCACTGCCTGGTAATCCTTGACTTTTGAAGATGATTAAACTGCTTATTTGCATCAATACCTTAGAAAACTAATTTTGTAAGCCATCGGGGAAAGTATAAATATGTAAGGTATCACTTAAATTACTCCATATAGCATCCAACTTTATAATAAAGCATTCTTTACCAAAGAAAGCAAAATCTAAGTCATATTAACTATCTCATCAAAATTAATGCCTGTGGGACTAAAGGGGTGGCCCAATAGTAAAGAATACTTGATGTGCTTGCAGAAGACCTAGGTTTGGTTCCTGGTACCCACACTAGGCAACGTGCAACTACTTGTAACTTCATTTCCTAGGAAACTGACACCCTCTTCTGGTCTCCAGAGTCACCTGCATGTGCATGGCACCCATACAAACATTCATACACTCACATACATAAAAAATAAATGGTTTTAAAATGCCTCTCATACACATGTCAAAAAAAAAGAATATATATTTGAAGACATCTGAACACCCGAGCTACACACCAAAATTAATTTCCACATCATTGAGTTAGACACCTAGCACCATGGGCTTTAGATACTACAGAATAAAAAGGGAATGATGCTTTCCACTAAAGGAAAAAAAAAGAGCATGTGTAACAATACTGCAAAGATAGTAGCCAAATAACTGGAAATGGTAGAAACTGCACACTAAAGGGATTCGTGAATATTACCATTTCCTGGCTTAGAGAAACGAGCATTACATTAATAGACTAATACATTCTGAACAGTGACTACAACTTCAGCTTTCTCCAGAGAGTCACAAAAGTACTACATCCCTTGCATTCCCCTGCAAGTTAGAATTATGGTTCATCTTTCAAAAAAAATAACTAAACCAATAAGTAGTTGAATGACCCATTTGGGAGCTAATCTATACATAACCTTTCTTAAGTCATTTTATAAATCAAAAATCAAAGGAAGAGCAAAACCATGTATACCTATAATTACAGAATCTTGGGTAGGTCATTAGAGTTGAATTTCAAATAGAGGGATATCTTAAGACTGTTATGCTTTTGTATTATAACTCATTTCATCTTAATTAGTAATAAACTCATAGTAATAAATACCTGGGCATCTAAACCCACAGTTGTTTACAAAATAGAATCTCCGCCCATATGATCCCGCAGTGCTTAGCTTGTTACAGTAAGCTTTGGTCAGACTGAGGGAAAAGGAAAAAGAAATCAACCCATAAGTAAATAAACAATTCTTTCCTTGTAAAACAATCACCACCCAGAATCCATTTTCAGGGGAAATTAAAGGTAAATGAAGTTGGTAATTTGCCAACACTGCTATATTTCCTTTTCATAATATTAGCCTGGGGACAACCATACTTAGTTTATTCTGATTTGGCTCATACATTAGAATAACAGTTTGAAGAGTGGGATTTTCAGGTTATAAATGTCACTCAAGAAAGTAGATTCAGAGAGCCATCAATTACATACCAAAATGTTATGACGTGTCTCAGTCCAGGTCTGCTGATGATGATCTATACAAGAAAAACAATAAAAGATGTCATTAGAGTCTCAACTACCTATGAGGAAATCAGAATCCTGCATATTAACCTGAGAACAGGCAACAGAAGACTTAAGCTGGTTAATATGGAATGGCCAGGGTCCTCTCCCAGAAAACTAGCTGCATAGTTTTATCTCCTTTGGAGGAAGACACGAGTGTTGTGGGTCCCTGAATCTGAATGCTCAGTGCTATACTACAAAGCATGTTCTAACTCTTTGCACACATACCCAGGCCTGTTTTCACTTGCTTTGAAAATGTGCCTATGGGTTTGGAGAGATGACTCAGCAGTTAAGAGCACTAGCTATTCTTGAAGAGGACCCAGGTTCAGTTCCCAGCACACACACGGTAGTTCACAACTGTCTGTAGCACTAATTCCAAAGAATCCAGTGGCTTTCCTGGTCTCCAAGGTTAGCAGGTACTCCAAGGTACACCAGGCACACACACGGTGTACTTACACACCCAAAGACAAAACACTCATGCACATTTAAAGGAGAAAAGAAAAAAATGTGCTCATGAATTTAGAATTTCCATCCCTTTCCTGGAATTTTACCAGTAGGAAAGTGTTTCAAATTAGTAATAATAATTTACTCACTGTCTAAACTACATATTTGTTCAAAATATATATTCTTCTCTTTAAAAACCTATACAATTCAAGTTTCCCTGTCTTAACAATGTCCTTTCTGGTCTAAAGAATTCATTGTTTTTCATTTTAAATCTGGGTTTCAATCAAGGATCACTATTTAATGTATGGTATATCTCTAATATCACTTGGGGGGTGAGGAGGGCTATCTCTAGAAGCCTGTGGATACCACAGTCAAGGATGCTCCAGTGTCTTACATAGAATGAAGCATATAACACCCTCCCGTGTGCTTTAGACTTCTGGGTCTAAATATGCAATATGAATGCTTCGTGGTAAGATATTACACTGTGTAGCTTAAGAAATAAGAGCAGGAAAAGAAAGTTCCTCATCCTGTGCAGTTGCAATTGTTTTTCTCCTAAACAGTCGGCAATTGGTTGAATCCTTGGGTGTAGAAAGCATGGCGACTGTAGAATCAACTCTATTAGCAAGTGTCTACAGTGTCTCTGGCCTTGGTTGTTGCATCCCTCCTGCTGGGTTGTTTAATCGTGTCTTCACAATCAGACTCAGGCTGAACATGTTTGACTCATTGGTTATGGTGTTTACATTCTTTATAAATATCTTAAAACTACACAAAAGGTTGTACAAATATTTTATTTCAGTCACAGTTACACTAAATGGGTTGCCTCCTGTAAAATAAACTTAGTGTCAGTTTTTAATTAATAAAATTCTTTTGACATGGATGAATGTGCTTAATTTGTACTGCCATTCCACCGAAGTGGGTATTTTTAAATTATCTTTTCTTTTTAAATGAATATTTATGCACATTCATATAAGCAGTAAAACTGCTTCTGGGGCCAAAATTTAAATATAGATATGACATACCTATCACCCTAAAGCAAAGAACCTTCTGTTTTCATGTGAATAAGTCTAAGTCATTTTTCTTCCTCTTTCCACGGTGCAAATGTTGTACTTCGCAGCTCTTGCTCCACTGTGTTAAATTACAAAGCAGTAGGACACTGCGCTTTAGCTAAACATTTTCATTTTTCAAACTGCTTTTTGAAATTATTATGGTTTAACTAGAAACAACATCAAAGTTAATGAGTGCTGATCTGAGATGCATATTAATTATGTCAAATGATCAGCAATCAGCTTTTCATCACATTCTTGTCTCTGCGCTTGATGCACGTAAGAGCTCACATCTCCACTTGTTCCCAGGAAAGATTATACGTCACTTCTTCCTTCTTCCCCAAACAGCCTTTCAGGATAAATACCCGCATTTTTAAAAGAACATCTTCGCATGTTAAACTGGATCATTTTCCTTCTTCTCTTTTTTACTTTGGACCTAAGGATCCCTTTGTTTAGTTTAAGATCAAGGCAGGAAAGGTTTGGAAATCTATGCCTGTAACTTGAGTCACAGTCAATAATATGTGTCTCTAGGCAGACAGTGCAGGCAAACAGGTAGAACACCAACAGGCTTCCATCCTGAATGTCTAGGGTCCTGGCCACCTAAGAGCTAAATAGATCTTTCAGTGACACTAAAATTGAAGGCAATCCCACCAAGTTTGGGAAGAAGGGCCCACGGTTGCTCTCTGGGTGGGACTATCTACACCGTTCTGAGATTGGAAAGATCTTTAAAAAAAATGAGGTGCTCTTTTTCACTGATGAAAACTACTTTACCATCTCCAGAAAGCCTCTGCTGATGTGACAGACAAGAATCCATTTAGTCTCTCATCTATGCGCAATTTCCTTAACACCCGGCAATTTCAATAGCTCATTTCAAAGGGAAAGAGTAGTTTAAAAGAACTGAGTAGTGAGTGTGACATTACTATCCCTGTCCAGTGTCCAGTTTCATAGAGAAGTCAGGACAGGGCCGTGAAACACATCCAAGGAAGGAACTGAACTGTCTTTTCAATTCCGAGTTCTTCACATATAACAGTATTTTCTTTAGAATTGGCATATTATGCACTCCATTAAAGGAAAAAATTCTTTGTTCCAATTCTAAGAAAAACATTCTAGTCCTTCGTTTGAATTGGATTTTAAACCAAATGCAGTAAAGGAAGCTGCATTTAGGGGGTTATGCCTTGAATATGTAATGGCTTGAAGAGAGCGAGACAGGAGATGTTTCAACTGTGAAGTCCTTCCTAGAATATACATCCTTCTTCTTTCCTCTCCAACCCTCAATATACTCATATTATCTTCAAATAATAAGAGTGGCTGCCTGCAGTTGATTTAATCACTGTGATTTCCTGAGAAATGAAGACTGATGTCTCTTGAAAATTAGTCCAATTTTATCTTTGAACATGAGTTTAAAACTGTTAAAATTACTACTTTCAATAATATATTAACCTCCTCAGGGGGTATTAGTTATTCTCATAACCTTCCTAAATCAAAAAAAATGATATTAGGGCCCAAGTTTTTTGTTCATTAAATTTCAACTTTAAGATACAATTACCTTTAAAACTTTGCCCAAGTTTAAAACACTTCAGGTTTCATTTAACCTTTTCCAAATGAACTTTGAAAATCAGTTTTTCTTTCTAAACACAAAATGGGGACAAATCCATTTTATTGTCTTATAAAACAAAATTGAAATTAAGTAGAAAATAAATAAGAAAAAAAAACATGGGATAGGGAGATGATTCAGTCAGTAAAATACTTGCTTTACCAGCAAGTATGAGGCTGTGAGTTTAATGCCTAGAACCCACAGGGGGAAAAAGACCAGGCTTGGTGATGGGTGCTTGTAATTCCAGATCCAGGGAGGCAGATCCTGTTGGATCTCTGGGGATCTCTGGCCTTCTAGTCTAGACTACTTATGAATTCCAGGACAGTGAGAGACCCTATTTCAAAAAACAAGGTGGAAGATACCTGAAGAATGAACCCCAGGTTGACCTCTGCCCTCCACACATATTATATTCATGCACACTGATGAACAGACATCTAGACAAAAGGAATCTTACAAGAACAGCAGTGGTCATAAAAATAATAGCAAAGTGTTTGTTCTGGTTGTCAAGCAACTTATGTGTGCGCATGCCAAATGCTGGATATACTGCCCCGCTCTGCTGCACACTAATGATCACCCACATGGTCCCCAACCTTCTTCACACTCATACACGCACAGGCATACATACACAAGCACATGCACTCATATGTGCACACGCATACATACATGTGCACGTACACAAATACTTTCTGATGATTGTTCGGACGGCTTTGCACAGTGACTCATACTTTCCTTTGTCTCTAGTTCAGTGAGAAGAAAACAGGAGAAAGGGAACTGGTGACCTCTGCACCGGAAGCCCCTGCCTCTTCCCGGACTACCAGACTCTTGCTCACTTTGACTTTGACCAGGGTCCCTGGGCTCTCCCTCCAACACCAGCTTCCTTAAAGGTCTTTAATGCATCAGCCCCACGTGGGCGTGTCTAAACTACAGGGGCAGAAACATTCAGTCCTTCTTCCCAGGTCTCTCAGACCCCCTGCCGTATAACCCCTCTGAGTCCCTGAATTTTCCGAGATGGTCCAGCGTTCACTGATACTCTGTGTCAGCCGAGAGGCAATCTTACTTATGTACACACCTATGGAGGGATTGCTTGTCTTCACCATAGCTTGATAAGTCAAGATACAGGTTTTCTTCCTAGCCACTATTCAGAATGCTAGATTTCTAAATATTCATTATGTCATGACACCAACAGCCTTAAGACTGTAAATTCTCAGTACACATTTGCTAAGGATAAAGTAAAGCATGGGAGAAAGGAGAGGAAGATGAGGGGAAGGGGCACGTGGAAGTTTCAAGCTCAGTGAGGCCATGGAAGGAAGGAAGCATGGCGGAGGTGCTGCTGAGTGTGGAGAGCATGAAGAAAACCGGAGAGCGGCAAGCAAGACACTGCACAGTTTGGCACCTCGGTTATTTAGCTCGCTGTCATGTATTTGAACATCCTTAGCTCTGGAGTCTCCCCAGGTAGAGACTCTTGGGTGCCGTGTTCTAACACCAAAAAAAAAAAAAAAAAATTCTCCAATTATCCCGACCTAAGTATGTATGGCACATGAGGCCATCAATGTGAAAAACCAGTAGCATTGGCTTAGGGCTCTGGGGAGGAATGTGAAGAAGCCAAGAGAGGGGCCTAGATCAAGCAGCACAGAGAGGGAGGGGTTGTGTCTGGTCGCTCTTGAGAGCGTATTATATCGTGATTCTTTTCTCTGCTCATCCCACGATCACAGCCCCACTATATTTTTAAATGTTTGGTCCCTCATGGAGCAGGTTCCTGATTTACCACTCATCCCAATAGTACAGACTTGGGTACAGAATTCATACAAACAGATGATAATTGTCGCATACCAAGCAAGGTGCATTTGGATTTGTCTTTTTGTCCTGACTCTACAGGTGCCCTGTCATTAACTCT